GGAGAGCTAGCATACTTGAAAGAAAACTCCTTCTAGAGAACATATTTATTTTTTATAGCAAATTAAATTTAGTTTACTGAAGTAATCTATTTTTATGTTGAATAATTATTAATATGACATCTACATTGATATGGTCACGGGCTAACTACTCATAACATTGTTGTAGGTTACTATATACTAACTAACAAATTATTGAAATGAATCCAACTAACATTTTATACATTTTAAATGAAAAAATAACTTATAACAAGCATAATGACATATGAAATACTAATGAGATTTATGTAATTGAGATTTTCCACTGACAATAGTTTGTAGTTGTGGACTAATTTTACTTGTACCAATTATTAAAAGAGATTTAAGATGCTCATCAGTTAATTTAGATCTGTAAACATTTTTTGTGTACTTCATTTTGGAAAAGGTCTTCTCACACAAATAAGTAGTACCAAAAACAGAAAACAGCCCACGAGCAAATTTATGCAAATTATCAAATTGTGTCAGTGGAAGACACTTATAAAATTCCAACAAAGATAAGTTTTGATATTTGTTCTTAATTATATCACTGCACTGTAGATCAATCATTTCCATTTGAAGTTCCGGGGCTAGGGTTTCAATGTCAGTATCAAAAGGATTCTGAAAAATCTTAATTTGATTCGCAATGGCATCAAAGTCCGAGAAACGAGTATCAAAATTTATTTTCAAAGCACTCAAAGTTTCGATTGCAAAATCGATAGGAAACTCGGTCTCAGTGGTGTGGCTGAATATTTCACATGTTTTAAAATGTGAAAAACATTTACTTCGTAGTTGTGATTGAAACACTATCAATTTCTTCCGGAATGATTTGATATTAGTGTATAAATCAGGAAGATGCTGGTTTTCTCCTTGCAATCTCAAATTCAGTTCGTTCACATGTTTTGTCAAATCAACATAGAATGCTAACTTCCACAGCCATGCGTTGTTTTGCAATTCAGTAAGAGGGCGATGCTTTTCATTCAAAAAAACTTCGATCACTGCTCGAAGTTCAAAAAAGCGCTGAAGGACTTTCCCACAACTAAGTCAACGTACGGCAGTATGATAAGGTAAGTCATTTTCTCCAATCTCTTCAATAAATTGCACGAATTGTCGGTGATTCAGCCCAAAAGATCTGATAAAATTAACAGTTGATATGACTGGTTTCAGAACTTCAGACATATCCAAACATTTTCCGCACAAAGACTGTTGATGAATGATACAATGTAAGACTATTGGTTTTGAACCACCGTCATTTTCTACAGCCTTTGACACAAGAGCGACCACTCCTTTACCTTTCCCACTCATGTTTTTGCCTCCATCAGTTGTAATACATTTCAAGTTTTTCCATCGAAGGTTCTTTTGGTTAATGGCCATTTCAACTCCTTTAAAAATATCTGAACCAGTAGTTGTGCCATGAATACTATACATATCAAGAAGTTCTTCATGCACTTCATAGCTTTTATCTACTCCTCGAATATAAATCAACACCTGAGCAGTATCTGACACATCCGTTGACTCATCCAAGGCCAAAGAAAACCACTCAACATGTCCATTTTTGTTGAACAGTTGAGAGGATATATTTTCAGCGATGTCTTCTACCCTTCGAGCCACAGTGTTTGCTGACATACTGACAGTTTTTAATAAATTTACCTTTTCAGGGCACATTTCCTCGGCTACAGCGATTATGCATTCTTTGACCATTTCTGCATCGGTGAATGGTTTTCCACGTTTTGCAATTTCAAGAGCCACACGAAAGCTGGCATGAGTTGCAGCCTCTTGTTCAGTTTTGAGTTTTGTAAATAAAGATTGCTGCGATTTCAATCCGAGCTTCATAGCTTCGAATTTTTCTGTCCTCAAACTTCCTGTATATTTTGAGTAATTTTGAAAATGTTTTGCTTCATAATGACGTTTAATGTTATATTCTTTGAGAACGGCTATGCTTTCATTGCAAATCAAACATAGCGCCTTGTTACTGGACTCAATTACGAAATACTGAATGTTCCACTGATCTTTGAATTTTCTGCATTCACTATCAATTTTTCGCTTCTTTTCCATTCTACTAAATCACACACAAAAGCAACAATTCAAATCAAAATATTGTTACAAAGATGTCTTAAACTTAAACACGCACAAACACGTTTTAAGGAGGTACGCACTATTTTATTTCACAGCAGTGTCATAGGAACTGACTTGTGGTTGCGCCACTAGCCTTCTTATATATTCCACTTACTGCCATCTAGAAGTGAGTGGAAGACACCAGAACTTTCTCGAACCAACGAGATTATTCTGTAAGTGCTATTAGCGCCATCTGTTAGCGATAGAAGGTACTACCTATTTCCGCTTGTGTCCACCAGATGTCCTGTCACGTTACTCCTCATGGCTCGCTCGTACTCTACGACTAATCTAGAAATTACAGATAATGACAGGAAAATTAATAATATGCAGTGTTGCCGTTTTGCGGACTTTAGTCCGATTTGCAGCCTTTTTTAAACGTGGCGTACTTTTTCGGACTTTTTTTTTCATGTAAAAAAAATACTCATTCGTTACTTGAGTACTCGTTACTCGTTAGGAACCGAAGTAACGATTACTGAAGAAAAAAGTAATCAATGATTACTTGTGTATTTCATTACTTTTGTAATCAATGATTACTATGGCGATACGATGCGGGTACCCCATTATAACGGATACCCATACGATACGGAAAATACATCAGCTTCCCCGTCGCTAGAGGCATCTGGCAGAAATTAAATGAGTATCGTCCCCGTCGCTAGAGGCATAAAATTAAAGCGTTCCCGTCGCTAGAGGCATCTGGCAAAAAAGTAATCATATTTTACACCACTAGTGGACTGATTCAACTTTTTACCACCGGCAACAATGAATTATAATACGGTTTTGGCCCTTGGAATTTACTGGAGTAATCAATATGGCCCTAAGGCTGGAAAGTTTGGAGACCCCTGGTCTATACGATCGGATTCAAAATAATATCTTTATGAACCATGACCTCATGAATCTGTCTCTATAAGTTGCAAACATCATAGAAAATCACATTAAAATATCTAGCACATTGCATGTGAAACTGCGTTATACCACGTTCTTGTCAAACCAGCTCCAAAAATCTAAAATTTAGTGGGTATTTATTTCAATTGTTTCCTTAATTCCTGCAAATGTTGTAAAAAAACACTCCACAAAATCACCGAGGCGTGTGAACGAAATACTGCGTTAACTGACACATGCACTTTCAAAGCATTTTCTTTTAAATTCTATTTATGAGCGTGGTGTAATCATTTGCATTTTTGTTTGAAACTAACTATTAATGTTTATCTTTCTTTACATTCTTTTTTTTTTAAAAAAAAAATGACTCAATACGCAAATTTTGAGTACCTACTACATTTGTGGGATTCCATCCATCAATTCATCTTTATAAATAAACTTAACCTGTCAAAATAGCACCTCAAATCTTTTCTTGATAGTAATTTCCATCGTATGACAAACACCAGTTCTTGTTCTTAGAGACAAATTGTTTGTCTCGCATATCTTCACCTTCTCTTGATGTAGCTAATTGCATTAAGTGTTGACAATGTACCAACTATCTCGCGTTGCACTTCTGTTTTTCGCTTCTTTTTCGATAGATAAATTATTTCTGGATGTGTTAACTAGATATCGCCAATTCCGAGAACACCTACACATCTTTCTTTGCTCCCTTGCGGAACAAATTAGATTTCGCTTGGGAAGAGTGATTTTTATTAAGGAGAGCATTTGCTCTACTGAATTTTGTTGGACTGAGATTTCTGTCTAATTATAGATATTTTTTATCCTAATTTCTTTTCCACTGTAGAGTAAATTTTTCTATATCAAAAATAAATTTATAGCTCGAACTTTGTCGCATTATCCTCTTAAATTAACCTTTTGGGAACTTTAAATGAATTTGTTTGAATTGAATAATTGGTTGAAACGTGACTTACACAGAATGGAAAATAATTAAAGAAATAGTAAATGGATTTGATAAATTGTACTGATATCCAGTTAAAACTTTAAAACTGCGGCTGGAAGTTAGTTAATGATAGTGTAGAGTTGAATCTATATACTAAAGAAGTGTCCTTCTTTTCCAAGCGTTAGAAATTATCGAATTACAACAGGACAGATCTACTTATAATCAAAGACGCGAATATTTCTTAAATATTTTACGCATTGAAATAACATTTGTTCGGCAAGGTAAAACACTAAATTATTATATTACATTTTAAAATACGTTTAGTTATTATTCCCACATATACAGCAGATGAAGAATTAAATATTGATTTTTTCGTAGAACTGAAGAAATAAACTTTATTATTATCTGTGCTTGTCTTTTTATTTATTGGATCTTTGTTCGTGGCAGTATCCCAAAGACCACGGTAACGAAACACGGGATCACCATTCTGTTTCATGTGTTTTCACGGGTTTCCAGTCCTGTTGCCTTTAATGACTCGCTGTGTAACTGTTCGTAGTGACATTTATTTCGAGTACCTAGTCTTGATAAGCTTTAAACTCTAAATCAATGTCTCTATGAGGCAGGGCTGGTTCCTAGTATTCAGAATGATGGAAGTGATTAAGCGACAGTAGAAGCGAAGGTCTGGTGAGAATTTATTTTCCTATGGGTCGTTGGTGGAGGGTCGGAGAGAAAGCTTGCTGCTGATTAGGTGTGGGCGTGACCATCTTTTCTGGGTGTTCTTTGCTGAAATTTCTAAAGAAAAATCTTACTTTAGGAGGTTTTTACTTCTTTTAAAATTATGGTAGCAAAGCGCCGCAATGCCTTGCAAGAGAATATTGAGCTTATCTTCTAGGTTGTCTGTGTTTTTCATCGTTTTACAGGATTCTAGAAGGGTGGGAAATGATCGGAAAAGGTCTTGGATTTCTTTAACTGTGTCAATGAAAATGAAGTTTTCAGCGTCTTATTTTCTTCGGTCCGGATATTTCTTTTTGATTTTTCTTGAGTTAAAAACGGTGCCAACGGCATGCAGTGTTTCCAGGTGGTCACCCTCCCAAGCACTGACTGCACACTATGATGTTTAACTTCGGTGATCGGACGAGAACCGGTGTTTTCAGCATGATATCGAGGTCATAAGTTCTCTCGTTGGCTTGAATTTACGAAATCTGGAGAGGGATTCGCAAACTCAGGTGTCGTCCTCGCCAATCGATCGAAATTCAAAATTTCGAAGTCGTCGTCAATAGCCTCGTAGTGCTTTTAAGTGTGACTTTAATGCACAATCAATTAAACAACAATTGGACTTTTGCTTCATGCTAGTTTAAATGATAATAAAAATGGTTAGTGAGGAAGCAATGATGGATCTTTACATGCGTAGTGTTAAAGTAATATAAATATACTATGAGAATGGTTCAAAAAGAACCATTTTTTTTATGATAAATGATGTTACAAATGGAAAGTGCTGTTACCATCGCATAATACCACCTGTTAAACGGTGTCAAAACAAATTTTGCACTTAATCAGTGGTTAATTTTGATTTCTCTACGAGAGATTTGTCCTCGATCATCATAATACGAGGACTATTCAGAAAGTAACTTATCTTAGCGGAGGACAAGCTTTGAGATACTTTCGTCATAAAATTCTGCCCCCAATTTCAAACAACAAAGTCCATGAAACTTGTAGAAAACTAAGCGAAAGCTCCGTTATTGTGAAACGGCGGCTTTCACGTATCTTTTCATCAAATTTAGCGACCAGTTCGTCAGTCACAATGCTAGTACGTCCACTCTTTTCTTCATCCTGAACGTTAGTTTGGCCATTTTTAAACTTAATGCACCATTTCCGGATTGATCTTTCATTCATTACGTTGTTTCCGTACACTTCACACACTTACCGATAAATTTCCATAGGTTTTAGGTTTTTAGCCAACAAAAACCGTATAACGGACCGCACCTCACAATTGACGGGATTTTCAATTGCAGCGCACATTTCAAATTTGAAAATGGAAAAAACGGGCAGCGTGGAAATGTTCCCGTTGTGATGACAAGACGCCGACTGAGATGCCGAGCACGCAGACACCAAAATATACGTGATCGGTGCGCGCCTAGCTACGTCAGACGGAAACGTTCCTTACTTTCTGAATAGCCCTCGTACGCTGGAAACCGTACAACCATCAAACCAGTGGGTTAATTACGGTGAATCTTCCCCAAAAAAGACGAAGGTCTCTTCAGCCGATACCGAGAATGTGACGATTTTTTGAGTGACTAAGGATATAATAACTCACGGATATCTTAGAAAACAGAAAAAGTGATTAATGTATATTGCTACAGTGAATTACTCCATTGTTATTTCCCATTCGTATTATACGATTTTCCACTCAAACACGGGTAATTTTTGAACCACTCTTGTGTTCCCAAAATAAAGAAAGGAAATAAACCGAGAAAAATTATAATTATATCGTTTATTATTAAAAAAAAACTCTTAACTAAAATTTCTTGGAAAACATTGAATGCTTTGAAACAAATCATATACAATCAGTGAATTTAATGTGCATTTATGTAACTTTTATAACTTTGGCTGCCTCTCGGGTTTAGAAGGAAATATAATGGACAGGCGACGTGAGTTTATCGAAAAATCTCCGTCAACCAATGCTCGAAGCTAATCAATACAACAAATGCTTCTGATCGTAGCAGAAGATAAGCACGGTCTCAGCGAAACATTTTGGAACGTAAATTTAGTTTAAAAAATCCTTCACACGCACTTTAAGAACGAAGTATTTAAGAAAGCGTGTGAGATTCGAAAATTATTTCATCCGTTTCAAATATTTATTTTGGCCGCGGTAGCCTAGGGGTCATGGTCGTGGACTCGAGCCTTGATGCCACTGCAGACTCACCGTGTACCTAGGGCTGATGAACGTTAAATCTGTACTAGTGATGGCTCCCCGCTAGACTGAAGTTATGAAGTGTAATGAAGATAAGATATTAATTACACTTTTACGCAGCGATTAAATGAAAAATACTGAGTTGGGATGTGATTGTTAAATAACTTCTCTCAGAGAATCTACATGAGGTCTATCGGCTTTGACAAATGATGAGGATGATACCTGACATGTCCCTTTCCAAATTTTTACACCTCGCAATGGGGAGGACTTTTGGCCTCCACCAGATTTAACATGCATTCGCCTCGCTACACGCCGGGTCTTCAGTGGCATCAGAGCAAAAACCCACGACTCGAAGGAGAAAAACGACAAGCTCGAGTCCGCGATCTTGGCTACTAGCGAACTGACCGCGGACTCAATAGCGAGTTGAGAAATTAAACTTGACCCTCGAACAAGGGCAAGTGAGACTTGCGAATCAAGCCGTTCGTTATCCAACAAAAAGTGAGAGACATGCTATTTGAAATAGAACGAATGTCTCAGACTCGAAACCTTAATTCCAGTTTGTATATTCACTTTAACCCGTGGGAGTTTATACAGAAATGAATTATATTTGTGTTTTAAACCTCAATCCATGCGCATTTAAGTTAAGTTTGACAGACAGAAATAGTGATAGGTATGAAACATAAAATACTAATATTTTGAATTAAAAAATTTGATTATCATGTTTTCCGCATCATTTGACGTGGAAGAGCTAGACTAATGGTCATAGTCGTGGACTTTTGGCCGGTATTGGTTTTAGTCAAGTCTTTTTTTCGAGTCCTTAAGCCATTAAATACCGCTTGTAGTAGGGCTCCTGCACGTTAAATCTGGTCGAGACCTAAAGTTCTTCATTTTGCATGGTGTAGAAATTTGGAAAGTTACGTACCATCCTGGATGTCGTCCTAAACCTCACCGAGACTCAAAACTACGAGGTCCTTAACCAATGACCCCCGTATTTCTTTTCTGTTCTTTTCTTTTCTTCGTATTTCGTAAATATTTCTTCTTGTGATGTAACGACATTCATTCACTCCTTCATTTGACTCTTCTGGTGACCGGGTATGACAGAATAGTAGCTCATGCATGATGTAAGAGGTGACTAAAATGGGTACCCAGGGTCTGGGGGTATAGACGGGCACCCTGTCCCTGGGGATTATATCATGGAACCTCAGGGGCTTGCCTTATTTAGGTAAGTACGAGCATCATGACCCCTAGGCACTCTTGTGATTATTTCTTTCCCATGGGGTTTATTCTGAGGCAAACATGGGTGACGCACTCCCGGGTTAACCTAGCTATCCTTCTCTATTTTCGACTCTCCTTCTTTATCAACTAATTTTTGTACTTTTTTTTAAATGTTTTCAGGTCTAAATCATAGCCACATCTGGCACTTACACCCATAAACCTCACATTCACTCACTCACTCCTTCATTTAAACGTGTAATATAGTGACTAAATGATAAGACACATAATGGAAAATGAATCATTACAATTATCAACTTACGTTACAAATTAACTAGATTTCATAAAATATCATTTACTATAATGTGTCCCTTAAATTAGGGGATAGGGGCTTCGAAAAATATGGTATTCGGTTCTCTTATCTACATAAAACGTAAACAAGAGTCTACTTTCTCACAGAAAGATTCCACCTCCTCCGAAAACCAATAATCTCGTTTACACGTTTCTCAATCCTTTCGGTTCGGTGATGACAGAACACTCACCTTCCCCTTTTGGTTGACCTTCTGCAGAGTAAATTAGATTTTGCTGGATGTAGTTTAAATCTATCACGGAGAACATTTGTTTCTGAGTGGTTTTATTTCCTTGTGGTTTTGTTATGTTATCGCATTTGATTTTGGTGATATTTCTTACACCAAAAAGCTGGGATAAATGAGTTAAAACAATGGTAGATAGCTAATACTTTCTCGATCACTTCATTGAATTCAAATGTAATTACTAGGCAGGCGCAATCCATTCCCCAAATAATGATTTTTTCCATTTCCTTAAAATATTTCTTTAAAATACATTTTACAGAAACACAGTACGTAAAATATTTTTAAACGGATACAGTGTTCTAAAATTGACTAAAATATGAAAACAAGTATATTAGTTAATTTAAAAATATATATGACTGTCCTAAATATGTATACAAAATTTTATAACCCTATACAATATTTAGCGAGATATTTAAATTTTCTGTAACATGGAACTAATTCAATGAATTAACATTCAGAAATTAAAACTACGTTTTATCTGCTTCTTATTTTCCATGACGCTCAAACATTTAATGTACTAAAGGTTTTTTTTCTTATAATCTACATGAAGTTTTGACATTTCCCTGTGGTTGCTGTACATAACATGTTCAATAATTTTGAGTGGGCAATAAGGATTTAGATTAGTATACCTCTTTTAAAAAATGTAGATAACTTTATATAGTACTTTTTAAAAGGGTTTTGTTTGATTTTAATTAAAGTCGTACTTGAAGCAACAAAGGCTATTGGCAACGGAACTTGTAATTTTGAGTCTCGGTCTAGCGACGAGGACGATACCTGAGCTGGCACCCCGTCTCCTAACTTTCACACCACGCTAACGGGAGGACTTTGGGCCTTGACAGATTTAATGTGTATGAGCCCCGGCTACAATGCGGGTTTTTAGTGGCATGAAGCTCGAATCTATGACTCAACAAATGCCACCGGCCACGAATTCGCTGCCTTATCCACTAGGCTACAGTGATCACTTTAAAATGGTATTCAAAGTGTATGATACGAAAGAAAATTTGCAAAATTGTAAATAACACTTGTACAATCAAAAGAACGCACATAATTGTGAGGAATATTTCTATCAAATTCGGAAAAAAGTCTTTAAAATATTAAAAATTTACAGTAGTAGTAGTACGTTTTAAAGTGAAAGGTATTTAGAAGCTATTTAGATGATCGTTTGATTAAGAATGAGGTTTCATTCTAAAATGCTTATCTTATATATGTTGAAATATGATGAATAAAAGCTTTTTTTTTACATCGTTTTTCTGAATTTCACTTGGTGTGTGTGTGTGTGTGAATGTGTGTGTCATCAAATTTTCGATCGTTAATTTAACCAACTTCCCATCAAGCTAGAGCTTTGAAATTTTGGGAATCGTTCGTATTCGCCTAACAATGCAATATTTACACGTTTGCGACAAGTTTTAACTAATATTTCAATAATTTTAATAAGTCAAAATATTCTT